GATATCAAAAGTAGAGGATACCTATTCTTGATGGTAATCTTGTTGAGTCTTCAATAATCAACACATATCCGCAATGATCCATCTTTCCTCTTCACAAATAAGATTGGAGCTCATGTTGAAAATTTGGAATGGCATGTAAAATTCTTGGCCAAATTTTCTTCAATGTATTCCTTGACTACAGCCAATTCATTTTGTGATGAATTATAGATTGGTCCAAATGGCAGTTGTGCTCCTTTTTTAAGATCAATTGAGCAATCAAAGGGACAATGTTTTGAAAGAATATCCATATTCTTCTCCTCAAATACATCTTAAAACTCTTGATATTAGCTTCAAATGCCACTTTAAGTCTTTGCATCATTAGAAATAAGAGTGGCGTAAATGATACAAGGTGATCATTCTTTTGTAGCATGCAAGAAAGCTTTTGCACCTACAAACATAGGTTTTATTGTACTAAACTTATGACTTTCTATGATATGAAAAATCAAATCTATGCAAGGATTATACTTTTCTAACAATAATAAACTTAAAATGACTGAATTAGAGGGAGATCTAATTATATTAAAGATTACACAACTACTATGAGCATTTATTGCTACATCTATAGGAAGTGTTTCATGAGTAACATCTCCAAAAGACAACGGACAACCATCTATGACTTCTACATGAATAGGTTTAGTTTTTTGTACTAACAATATTTTATGACTTTTAACAAATTCTACATCTAAGAAATAAGCTAAGGCTCTTGAATCTAATAAGGCGGAAGCTTTATAATTATTAGGTCCTAAATGCACATCTACTATAAAACAAGGAGAAGGTTTTGAGGAGAAGATAGGACCTTCATTAGAAATTTTACAAGATTCCAGCCTCACAGTCCCTATTGTAGTTGGACAAATTTATTTTCTAACACATTATCTTCTTTGACAGATGTGCTCCCCGTTTTGTGATTTCATCACTTCTATGGACAATATTGAGCAATATATTTAGATTCTCTACAATATAAGCACAATCCTTCTTGATGGTGATAAGTCTTTTTTTGCTCGGTAAGAGATTTAAAACATACTGCATTAATTTATATATCCTTTACTTCTGAATGTATGTATAGAAGAGATGTTGATGTTGCCATCAAATTGTAGTAATATTGAGGCTTACTTGTATGACTCTCAGATTGAAATTCAAAAAGTCGATTGTCATACTTCACAACAAAGTCAATTGCTTGATTCAATGTTTGAGGATCAGATAAGTTGAGCATCAATTTCTTTACTTCATATTGTAATCGATAGAGAAATTGGCTAATAAGTGCATCATCCCACTTGATATCAATTACAAGTTGTCAAAATTATGAAGCATATAATATTACAGATTGATTGTCTTATCGTAAAATACAAATCTTGTTGGTTGCAACATGAATTGCATGATGTTTTCCATACATAGACTAAAATTCTACCAAAAATGCCTCCAAGTTATCTAATATTGGATCTCATCATTCAAGAAAAGACAAAAACTACGATAGTCTTGAACCTGAAAGAAGTATACCGATAAATCTAACTTGTGATCTTGGAGTTGGATAGCTTTAAAGTTGAAGTTCAATCACAAGTTATATTTGATTGACAAATCTTCGAAATTTGGATCTTGTACCATCAAACTTCTCGAGCAAGGTAACTTTTGATTTTCTAGCACTTGAAAGATATTCCATTGTAGGTAGAGGGACATGATTTGGTACAGATGTTGAAGTAGCTCTAATCATCTCTTTATCCTCACTTCCTATCATTCTTATTGATCTTTGTCGTAGTAAGCTAAGTTAATGCATTATAAGCATCAACTCCCTCAATTACTCTTGTATTTGTGCCATTGCACTCTTCATTTCAATAAGCTCTATCATAGTAACAATTAAATAAATATCTAATACTACTCAAGATAAGTAAAAAAAAGGACTTGACGACAGAGAAAATATTAAGAACAATATCAATTTAGAAGAGGGTGATCCACAACTTCTAATAAGCTTATGTCTTATCATAAAAAAAGAACAATCCACTATTAATGAAGACAAGAGAAAGCTCTGATATTGTAAGTGTACTCTTATCAATTTATCAATGACATGAATTGGAAGATAATGCATAAATCAATGAAATATGTGTCAAAAAAAAAGTGACAATAGAAATAAAGAAGTACTTATATTAAAAAGAAACTAGAATGGCTTATTGCGAAAGAAAAGAAAACTTCAGACTCTTGAAACAAGACTAGAAGCAAGAAAGGAATTAACAAGAATGAAAAAGGCTTCATTCTTGCCTCTATATATACTATCTAACTAGGAGCTAACTATGTGGCAATGTTCTATAGGACCTGTAATATGTATTGACTTTGCAAGACACATGCCTTAGCTTATAAGGCAAGTTTTCTATGTATGGGCCACATAGTTAGCTTGTTCTTCAAGCTATCAACATGTGTGGCACATGGCCAACTTGTTGATCACATTTCTAATCTAAAAAGTCAATGAAAGACACCTATATAGTTAAAGCAGCGTCTATAAAGCTTTTAGGAAGCTTCTATAGAAGATATTATGGAATTGACCTACTTTTACCTATTATTATCTAAATCATATCACTAATTATTGGTTTACATGTGTATGTCCATGACACTTACTTTGCAATGCAAAGCTTTATAAAATGATCTATAAAACGGCTTGTGAACTCTATAAAATGGCCTATAAATTTTAAAGATAATTTTTTTTGATGAAAATAAAGATTCATCTATGCAACCATTGAGAACCACTATTTGTCTCCTTGAGCATTCTTAATATATAGACTAGTTGAATATGTATCTATAGTAATATTTTATTATTGAATGTAAACAAAATAAAAAGTATCTACTCCAAAATTTCATTTTTGTATGATTCTCTAGTCCTTCTTTTGCTCCTTTGATTATTAGTGTTTACTTTATGCTTTGATTAATTCATTATTAACATTTTATAATTTATGCATGAAGGTGCTTTCTCATATTCCAACTTGATCATAGATTGTTGTTATTGCTAGGATCTCTTTTATATAAGTTTAGTTTTTATCTAAGTATTTTAGTTTATTTTTTCACAATAGTACTTATCTAATTTTAACATGATATGATTATTCTTATTAGTATTCTTTAATTATATTATTTTTCATTATATCAATATATTGGTATTTTTAATTAGATTTTATGCACAAGTTTTAGTCAAATCATATATAGTATCTACTACAAATAATAATAATACATTAGATATTAAGAATAAAAATACAACATTTATTTTGATGAGGTTCAAGTATGTTGGTTTAAATATAGTAAATCTAAAGTTGAGCATGAATAATATGGTTTTATAAATGATGATTTGATTGTTCATTTAAAACGTGTTAGAACATTTAATAACAATGGTGAATATTTTAGAATCATAGACATTTATATTATAAAGTAGTCACAAAAAACTAAAAAATAAAAAAAATAAAAATAAAGATTCACTGTGGACAAATATTTTTTAATCCAAAAATTGCTATTTGATAATAACAATTTTTGGTTTTGAATTAAACCACATTTTAACCTGAAGAGTAACTTACACTTAATTTTTAAATTTATTATAATATTATAAAATATGATCATTATATATGAATATTCCAAAAAATACTATATATATATATATATATATTTATATTCTGAAGATAATATTTGGAAAATAAATTTATGTGACTGATTGCGTTCATGGTTTCTTTTTACTGGCAACACACACTTGCCTTAATCACTCTTTCCTTTAAGAACAATAAAAAGTTTCATACTAAATCAGGAAAAAAGCCCACCATTCGTGGCCTCAAATAACACTCTCCAAAACTTAGGCTTCATCTTCGTTAAAAGTTTTTATTTTAGGTCGATTTCCAGGTTGGCGTTCTCTCATTGGCCCCTATTTTCAGTTAGATTATATACAATTCCACAGTGTCCATCCAGTATGACGCTCTCTGTAATAAGTGTCTATTGTCCTAGAAACATGAAACACCCTCATGACACCATGACTGCAATTTGTAGTATGTAGAGTTATTCATCCAAGAGTCTGTTGTGTAGTAACAATCAAAGTATTATACAAGATGAAAAGAAACCTGAAGCGAAAACCCAGCAACGTTTCATTAACATATTTCCATGAAACTAATAAATTTTCCTCCACAAAGAAATGGGACCCACGATTCCATTTCAGTTTCGTGACCAGTATCTATAAAGCCTACGTGGAAGTAGTGGAACTCTTGGAGCAACTCAAGAATAACATTTTTGCATTTATTCAGATGAACCTGACTCGTTTTCTGAGGACAATCAAAGAGGCAACCATGCATTAAAAACAGTTGAACGCAGAAAGTATAACCAGAATAAGGCTGCTAGAAATAGTAGCAGTTATACCAATTGGCGTTCAGTGGGGCCCACAGATCGCAATGGTGTTGATGCATGCTTTTGTCATACGAAGTGGAACGCGTGCAACGATCGGCTAGAGCATGAGACAGCGAGCGCGGTGAACAAGGAACTCAGGAAATATGGCGGAGAATGACTGGGATTTGCAGACAGTTGCTCAGTTGGAGCCGTCGAGTTTACAGGATTGAGAGAATAATAAATGAAAGAACAAAACAGATAGGAGCTTACGTACTTGCTGCGAGACCACTGTCGCAGGCTTAAGTGCATGTGTAACAGTGATCTGAGTATTCGCCACAAATGTCGGATCTCAGGTCATCCATACGATATTCATTCGATGATGAAGTAGAGATGGATGTTCCAACAAGGATGACCTAATTTTGCACGTTGCCATCACGGTTTTGTAGAATCTGGTGAAGGCGACAATGCAATGCCGGAACCCAGGGCTCTAGTCAAAATAAATCTCTGACATTTCTATCCAGATTCCGAGGACTACAGGTGAGCGCCGAGCTAGACCTGCAGTGGGGACGCAGTCCGTATTCCGCAAGTCTGGTCAATCTGTGCACGAGGTATGCCTTTCAATCATTCAAACGCAAACCTTTTCGCACCCCTTTTTACAAGGTGCTTGCTGTACTGTTGTCTCGTCACTGTTTTTCTTCCTGCTTACATCTCTCACTTCGTTGATCTAAAAGTAGTGAAGTGGAATGCACCAGAGCCATAGTAGAGAACGGGAGTTAAAGCAGATAGTAGGGGAGCCTTAGTAAGAAAATCACGGGAGCTTCATCTGCTTACAAGGATAGTGGTCCCGTGTTGTTTTGTTTCAAGACGGAATGTGACTGCTCGGGTGGAGGCGAATTGTGGGCGTCGCCGAGCTCCTAGATGATCGATGAACTGTTTGATGCCGTAGAACGGCTCCTGCTCCTGTGGGTTTGAGTTCGAAGTCTGTCACCAGCACAGGTTGGTGTGACGATCTTGGTTCAAGTGAATGTGTGATGAATCGTTGGGATGAGCGGCGAATCTGTGTTGTCGGTAGGATGTCTTACTTGTTGGTTGGATGCACTGAACGTCGCTCGCTAGAATTCGTGTCTCACCGTCGAGAGGATGAAGGTTACAGTGGTGTCGCCTGTTGGTTAGCGCAACCACAGCCTCTCGAACACGATAGTTTCGACTAGCATAAAACGTACAGGTGATGGCTGATCCAGAAGCTAAGGAAATACCGTGTTGGAGACGTATGAGTACGAAAAAAACACTCCTTTCTTGCAACGAGTAACTGCTGTAGGTGCCCAATTTTCATGAGCTCTACCTGGCCGAGTATATGTGCTCATTTACATCTTCAAAGGATTAGAAATCAAGTAGCCGTCGCAGATTTCGGATCAAACTTCTCTCTAGTTCTTAAGCTTAGGTATCAATCGGGTTTCTATTCAGGTATTGTCCATCTTTTGTTCCGTCCCGTTGCATGGGGAAATATTATTTGTGTTAGCCTCCATTCGAAAAGAGGCCTCTACGTTAAGCTGAATCAGTGGAGTCCATCCCTTTGCTGGCACCTTCCGTGTTCATCTCATCTAGGAACTCGTTGCTAAAGTTTGACAAATGGGATTGTAGTTGACAAAAACGTCGAAGAAATTATCGCACAGCCACGATTGCAAATCCATCATGCACTATGGCTTTGGTGACACAGCATACGTTCTGCACACGCCGCTGGGTCAAAAGCAATCCCGTGTTGTTGAGAAACAGTGGCGATGGCAGACGTCCTTCCAGTGAAAAAACACTTTCGTTGGGGTGTCGTTTTCCCGAACCTGTCCATTTTTGGTTGCTTCCCCTCATTTGATACACTGCAACTGTTGTCAAGGAGTCTCCTCTTCCGTTCCAATGAATAGTCAACCACAACCTACATCGTTTGTGACATTGACGCAATCAGGGCACTGAGGTCCATAGAAACGGAGAGGGTCGAACTTGAGCCTGTGTTACGTGGGTCGGGGCCTAGGAATGCATCCACTAGGGGAAAGATACTTGGCCCGAAGTGAGGATTGTCTCTTGAGGTTTTTTTCGTAGGGGCCACTTTTTTTCATTTTATTTCTCTTTAAATCCTTATCCAAAAGTGTTATATTGGAACTCAACCGCACCTTGCCTTCCCACAGGGGTTCACTGCATTGGGCAACGTCTATTACCCTCGGAATGGATAGATTTTAATAGAAAGAGCAACTGTTCTGTGGACCCAAGGCATAGTATGTTTTGCAATTAAAACCTGTACAGATTCTCCAAAACCAGCCGATTGCGAGAAAGTGCTATTTGTGTCCCATTTGCCTCTAGAATAGCCGTACATAATGATTTTTGCCGTTTTCAGCTGGAGTTGTGCTATATTGCAGGGATTGGGGAGATGCGTGTAGCTAGAGTAATGCGTATTTCAGAGCCTGATTCTCGCCACTGACAGGTTCGAACGGATATTTTGACATCCTTTCTACTGAGGGGCACTCGTGGCAATGGAGACACAATAGTCAGACCGGTGAGTAAAAAAATTGGGAATCGGGAATTCATTTACAGATCCAGCATATTCGAAATTATAATTGAAACTATGGGGTATGCACCGCAATGGAACACTGTGGCCACCAAGGGAAATCACCGCGCTTCAACGAAATCGAGACTTGCTGTAGGGCGGAGGGCATACGTCGCAATCGGCGCCGTCTTGGTTTTCCTTTTGTACACATGGATTGGATATGATGAGATGCGACTGGGACCTCGAACTTCATCGAGGTTCAAGCAGACTCTGAGATCAGGGGGTATTGCCGGGCAAGAATGCGAACAAAGTGCTGAACCAAGTCAGGAAGGAATTAGATCTTTAGGGTCATACGCCACGAACGCTTTAGAGAGTTGTGAATCGGCTGGACCAGATCTTCCCGTAGGGTACAACTTCGAAGCTACCAAACTCACCCCGGAGGAATGCGAAGGCCGGCACGTTTACATGTACGACCCGCCAACCGAGTTCACCGTTGATATCATCAAAAACTGCCAGAACTGGTCAACGTGGTGGACGATGTGCGAAGACGCGCAGAACGGCGGATTTGGGGTGCGATTGAGACTGCGAAAGTCCGACCCCCTGTCGAGTATCACCCAACCCCCCGATTCTTGGTATCGAACTGAGCAGTTCACCCTAGACATGTCCTGGCACAGCCGAATGAAGACCTACCCCTGCCTGACTGACGACCCAAACGAGGCTTCCATTTTCTACGTCCCCTTCTATCACAGCCCCGATTTGACTCGAAACTTGAAGAATCCCAACATGACGGAAACAGATTACTTGACTACACGATTCGTCAAGTGGTTGGGCAAACAGGCGCCATATCAGCGCTATGGCGGCAGGCGCCACTTCATCGTCATGGGCCGCATCTTCTGGGACCACAATCGGCTTTTCAATTCCACGCACGGTTGGGGAAGCTCTCTCTTCTCGCAGCCGGAGCTGAAAAATGTCTTCAAGGTCATGATCGAGCGAAGCGAATGGGCGGCAGACACAATCGCCATCCCATACCCTACGAACTTCCATCCCACATCTGAGGCCGCGTTGCAAGCCTGGGAGGCTAAGATCCGAGTCGCGAAACGCACTAAGCTGATCTCTTTCGCTGCATCCGACCGAAGTCGAAACATGACGGGCATGGTGCGTGGTGAGCTCTTCGACCAGTGTTCCAAATCTAAAACCTGTAATCACGTCATTTGCTCCACGGAGCTCTGTGTATTCCGGCCCCAGACAATTTATAAGATCTCCCTCGAATCCGTCTTCTGTCTAGAACCTGGAGGCGACAGCCCCACACGCAAAGGCATCTTCGATTCTCTCATCACGGGATGCATTCCAGTCCTCTTCAACACGAATCAAGCTGTGAAGATGTACTTGTGGCATCTACCAGGCAATGGCAGCGACTATTCCATCCTGATAGACGAAAATAAGGTTGTGAACGACCACTACGATGTGATGCAGCACCTGGAGCGCATTCCGAAGGAGGAGATCGCCCGGATACAGGAAAATATATTCGCCATGTTTCCGCGGCTCTTGTACAGAAACACAAAACTGACGGGCGAGTACAAAACCAAGGATGCGTTCGACATCACAATCGACAAGCTTCTCCAAAAGCTCCCCGCTGAGGACAAGACCTCAGGCAATCACACCACCATCGGTTCGTCACTATCCCATTGATTCTAACCAAGAGCAAGTAGAATCCAAAACTAGTTCTCAGTAAGTGCCCCAGTAACAGCCCAACAAGATGCCCCATAATTGTTTTTGCTGTACCCAGAGCTGCGTTGTTGGTACATGCTACTCTCAAGCACTCAATCTACTAGAAAGCACAGCAGTTCTGGTTAGTCGATCATCGTACCGGGAGTGAACCTCTGCAGCTTCTTTCCATATGAAATTAGGCAGCGTTGAAGTGTTTCATGCGCATTCACCAGCATTGCTTTGTTCGATCTGAGCCTCGTCGTGTGTCGGTGACTTGTCGGTAACAATCATGGTGAGGATTTCATGTTGTGTTTTAGAGAGTTGTGGGGATACTCATCAGTTGTGTGCTGATTTCTAGACACTGCATCGTCATGTGCAGCTCCCTTCAATGGGACATCTTGACCTCGCAGTGTAGGTTTATCAATGGGCCCCCATCAATACATCTAATGTAGGAAACAATATTCTGCAGCGTTTTGGACACACACACCTTGGAAGAAAGGAAAGGTCACGGATGGTTGTTGATCGTGATCACAACTGGAGAGATGAAGCTAATTGTGTCGGTGAGGCTTTGCTTGTGGAACTAGGATACCGCTCTTCTACATGCTACTTTTGACGGTGTCTGAGGGTAATACTACATCTCTGTCATGATTTATAGTACCTCATGTAGAAACATGAAATATCATTACGATATTTTTTCAGTTGTTTTTTCATATCACCAACATATTTGATCTTTTTGATGGCGCATCCCTAAATTGTTGGAAATCTATTAAAAAATATTTCAGTTATTTTGTAGGCACCGTCTACAAATCTCATAAATATCTTTTAAATCTTAATTAAAACCTAGCATACCTTATATTACTATATGACCTTAAAAAAGTGTTTGGTATTTTTATGTGATAGTTGCCACTTGACACAAGTGCAGGATGGTCCCTTCGGTGGTCCTGCGGACTGGTCAACGGGCAAGGCCAAGCGGTAGTGGCTCTTGCAAAGTATTGTCCTCGGAAGAAAATTTGAAACTGGCGGAAAAGTGTACTAGCATTTTTTTTTTGCCAACTTGCATCGTACCACACCGCACATTCTGTTGCTATTCTCCAGTGTGGTGCAGTGACTTTCACTGCACCACATATTCCTTTTTCAAACCTACATTACAAGTCTTGTTGCACACAGACATTACAAGCCTTGTTGTGTACAGAAATCAAACCATGTAAACCGAGTAAAGGCTATGGTGTTTATTTTTTTTAGAATTATCATTTTGTTGAGGTAATGACCAATTTGTTGAGGGGTCAACCTTGTGATGCTCCTCATCCTTCTAAGTCTTTTCATGTTTCTTCTATTTGGACTAGCATTGCTTGCTTTGCCTCTTGTTTGATTGTCATATTTGGAGCTTGTAGTTTCTTTATTCTAGTTAAAAAGCTTCCTCTTTGCATGTGTTTGAGCCTCCATAGAATCACTGTCTTATTGAAGAGTGATAATCCAAACTAAAACCTTCTAACTCCTCAGTTGTTTTTCTTTTAGCCAAACCTTAATTAAAAATTTCCTTGTAATCGATCTTTTGAAGATTGTAGAGACTAACTTGTTTTTTGTTTGATTTCAAGCTATACAACAATCATCTAACACCTACTATAAAGAAATTAAGTATTCTTGCTATGTCCATACACCTAGCTACAATATCTCTTGGCTCTTTGTTCACATCACATCTAGCTCATTTTAGAAGTTTTTTTCTTGGATTATTAGAAATTCTTTAATAGCAATTTCTTGACTTAGGCAACCTACCAAATCTTCCTTATCACATTATGCAACCATAATGCATCTATGCTATGTATCTTTCACCTATTTCGTTTTGCCAAACTACCCTAGTTCACATTTATAAATAATAAATATCTTAGTTCAAAAATGGATCCATTAAAAAGATATCTAATAATCAATTAAAAAACTCTGGTTCAAATTATAATATATCCTTACATCTCTCTCACTGACTAGTAGTTTTTATTGAAAATTATACATTCAAATATTTATGAAAAATATCATCAAAATTATGTAATTCTTATGAACAATTATTCATTTTATCATTTATTCTCTATGTATGTCTTGTCTCATTATATAATTTTTGTGCTAAAGATAATTCTTTTGTTAAAGATTATGCTCTCTCTTTTTTTTTCTCTTTCTTTCTCTATTTTTTATATGTATATATATATATATATAATGAATTATATTTGTTTAATTCTTGTAAAAATAAATTTTTACTATACTTTAGATAAAATTGTAAGAAATTATGATTCACCAAAAGAAGAAAGAACCATGAACATCAATGTAAAATATTCTTGAAAAAAGAATCAAATCTTTGAAAAAAGTATTAAATCTTCTATCTTATTTTATATACATTTATATATAAAAATAAATAAATTAAAAGATTATAATAAATTAAAGTTAATAAAATTATATTTTTAATTGAGTATTAATTATAAAATAAACTTATTTTAATATACATATAAATTTTTAAGTTTTATTTAGATAGCTTGTATTTGTTTATTAATTATATTATTATTAGTGGAATCAATTATTATAACTTATGTAATATCATATCATATATATTTTTCTTGTTAGTTGTTAATGTATATATATAGCAACAAAAAAACTAATAAGAAAAATTTGAATTTAAACTTTATTTTATTGTTGCGTGTCTATATTGTGGGTACTTGCAGTTTGTTTGTCAATATCCAACATCACTACATGCACCTCAAGATATTCTAAATGCTTTGCATTAGGAGTCCTCAAATCCAAAAAGATTTTTTTTTGTATCATTTTTCCATGGTGGATGCCTTCTTATCTGCACCATCTATGGTTTACCAATAAGTTGTGGCTATTGTTGTGACATAGTTTAGAGTTCCATAAGTATAAATATCTTTTGATGTGGTGGAAGGCTATTGATGGTTGTTAAAACTTCTTCCAATATATTGGACAAAAAATTGAATGCATTCTTAATAAAAAGATAACTACATCTAGCTTTGATAAGTATCAATGGCAGTCAAAGTTATTGAAATTAAAATGTTGCTCTTCATGTAACATAATTTAAATTAAATGTAAGCATGGCAGACCAAACATTATTATAAAAGTTCCTTTGCAAGTCTCATTATTTCTTAGAACATGCAAACATATAAGTAACTTACTTATAAATCTTCTTTAATGCATAATGACAGATTAGTTAGTTGACATCTTAAAAGATCTCACTGCAAGGAATTAGATTTGTAAATGTCAAGATGTGCATCTTTTTACAAGAGATTTGTATTAAATATTCCTTATATATGTTTTTGATATAAAGCTCTATGCATTAGTATATATCAAGAAAATCAAATTTGCTTCATCCAAGCTATTGCTTAAGCATATCATATATGTCTTTTGTTACAAAGATCACAAAGTTAGTAAAGTGGCAAATATTATTTCTCCAATCCACAAAAAAAAAAAATCTTTGTATACATCAATTTATATATTTTTAATGTACATAATTGCCTTAAAAAAATTTATATTCTAAGACTTGAAAAAGATACTTTATTGTGCTTCAATTTTTTTCCTAGAATGCACAAGTACTACCAAGTGCCGACTTTACAAAAATTCTTGCCATTGCTTATTTATAAAGTCTTGCTTATAATTTTTTACAATATTTTTGTCAATATGTCAAAGGCATAGTAGAATGGTTGTAAATAGAAATATTCCTTTGATTGCATTAATTAGAATTAGCTAATAATCCACAACAAAGATATTAGGTGAAGGTACTTCAATAAATAATTGTTTCAACTATTTAAGTGCAATTCAATAAGTTCCAACTTCTTCCAAGGTCATAAATAGAAGTGCCACTATAAAAGACTTATTAAAAATTATGCCCAACAATATGCAAGAGCGGCATTTAATACTTATTAGTCTTATATGTGGCATTATTCAGTAATATTAATTGATTCATGCAAACAAAGTTGATTGAAATAAGGTGAATACAATATATATATATATATATATATATATATATATATATATTATTCTGCCACTTATTATTATGTGTACTACATGGCAACCTTACCAAGTAAAGTCATCAAGAAGGCTTCTAGTAATATACATCTATTAAATAATATTTTAATAAACCTTTGATATACATTATTAATTATCTTTTTTATAGCAAAAAATCTTCTATCTTATTGGTACATTATTATTGTTAAAGTAAGAATAAGATATTATTACCTTTGAATAAATTACTAATGATCAAAGAATAGTAAAAGAATGAAGATAAGTTACTAATGTAGTGGCTAAGGTTTTAAGTGGCAGCTAGGTTAAGAGGAATCTAGGTTTAAGTTGGATAAAAGAAAGAAGGATGAACATGATCATAGATGAAGTTCAACTATAATAGATGTAAATTCTTCTTATAAGTAAAAGGTATTGGAGGCAAGAGGCATCTCATTCCACTCTTCTCTTTTGAGCAACATTTTTTATTTCTACTTACTTGTGTCTTGCTTGTTGTATTTTTTTAATAGGTTATGGGCCCATACACTATTTTTTGTGCTATGCAAGTAGTTGTACTTTGAACACATAGAGACTTCTTTTCTTGATATTTTTTAATAGTCTTCTTCTTAAATATGGCTTCTAATAAAGGTGAAGGTTTGAAAGTGATTGAGTAATTTAATGGAAATAATTTCTAGTATTAGAAGGTCAAAATGGAGCTTTTATCAGCATCTTTGGACCTTTGAGACATTATAGATAAAAGTGAAGAGCCTCCAAGCATACATTCAGATGCTAAAAAAATAAAAAAATAAAAAATAAAAAATAATTCAAAAGACGTGAAAAAAAGGCTTTTGGCATAATTGCTATCAAGAACAAGAACTTTTCCAACATCATCTTTACAAGGAAGAAATTCTTTACTTGCAAGATAGAAGAAGGTAAAGGTCTCATGGTTTATGTCAATAAGATAAAGGCTCTTACAATCTAACTAGCAATTTTTGAAAAGCCTTTAAAAGATGGTGATATTTTCATGACCTTACTTATGAATCTTCTTGAGTCCTAAAACTACCTCATTGTGGCATTGGAATCTATTAAGTTAAAGGAATTCGAAATAAACTACATAATGGCAAGACTTGCCTATGAAGTGATTTAAAAAAAAAAAAAACTCAAAATAAAAAAAAAACTCAAAATAAAATTTCAGCTCTCTTTTCAAGACAAGGCAAGAAGAGTTATTTTTATCAATGTAGCAATAAGAAAACTTACTTTATTTATCGAAAATTAAGTCATTTTTCATAAATATATATATATATATATAATACTAATAATATATATTAGTAATTTGGAAGAGATGATTTTATATTCATGGCAACTGAAGGCACTTCCATGGATGTCATATCCAAGTAGATTGTTGATTTAGGTGACACTGAGCATATAAATGTATATAAGTATTCACTTGATACTTGTAAAGAAATTTTAGCAAAAAATATTTTTATACAATGTAATAGCATAACATAAGCCATTTGAATATGTTCCATTAAAGTGGAGATTTTTGTGAGAAGAAACATTAAGAGGATTAAATTGAAGGACGTCTTGCATATACCTAAAATTAAGAAAAATCTCTTTTTAATGAGTAAACTAGTTATACATGGTTATAAGGTGTAATTTGATAAGAATGGATACTTTGTAAAGACATTAGATATAGATGATGTTACTAAAGACTTTAGGGATAGCAACATCTACTTCATCAAATATAGAAATATGAATAAAGTTGAAGTGGCTGTATTTGCTTAATTTTTATATGATTAAGATAAATTTGGCATTTGATATTAATACCTTGGTCATTTGAATGCCAAGAGCATGAAAAAAAATCCAATCCATGGTAAGTAACTTGGATCTTAAACAATCATGCAACAATGCCATGCTTCTTATTTGTAAAAGTTGTATCTAAAGTAAACAAAAAAGAGCCTCATTTTCAAGTAGAGTTATAATGCATACAAGTAAGTTGTTGGAGATTGAGCATTTTGATGTATGTGGACTAATGAAGATACCATCAATTAGAAGAGCAAGATACTTTATTACATTCATTGATGATTTTTCAAAGAAGATGTAGATTTTCATCTTCAAATCCAATAATGAGTGCTTTTCAAAATTTAAGGAGTTTAAAGCACTTATAGAAAAGCAATGTAAATATAAGATCAAGGTATTGCATATAGACAATGGAGGTGATTATTTATCAAAGCATTTTGATGATTTCTTCAAGATTA